GATTGGGATGATATATTTTCCAAGGAATTTCATTTGATATCCTCATTATGAAGCCTGCATGCCTGATTACAAAACGCAAGTGGTGACCCAGCTGTAGAATTCTGAGGCGGAGATTTGGTCCATCAGGAATGGAGGCATAACACAACAATCATCTAACCTCAAAGATTTCTCCTTGATTGACTCTATTCATTGCATGCAATGATTATTTTTATTACACGAAATAATCATACAAAGTACACAATGTCAAATAATAATCTTGGACGTCTTAAACTTTGCCCAAAATATCTGGAAAAACAAAAGAATAGATCAGAAATGTTTCTGCACCAATAACAAAAAATACAAATGACTTACAAAATCCAACATATCTTCTACTCATAGTTAACCAATACACTTACTTCCGCCAAACAGTGCAAATATCAGATATTTAATTCGTATTTTCAAGTTAAGACAAGATAAGTTTGTGGCAGCACCATGTGAATAAATCTCTTTTGAGAGTATGTGTGGTTCTGAAAAGAACCAGAGGACTAACGTTTGAACAGTATGCTCTGCCCGTCGTCAGGAGAATGAGGGATTCCAACGATGATGCGATGTTATAAGGATGGGTGCGGTGAGGCGTGAGAAGGATGCAAACTGGTGAAGCTCCAAACCGGTGAAGCTGAGAAGGATGCAAGTTGACTGATTCATTCACATGGTGCTACCGCAAACTTATCTTGTCTTAGTATCTTTCCACCATGCAAACTTCAAACTTATTTTCAAGTTAAATAAACAAATTGACTGTAGCAGGATGACTGTTCCGGATTACCATATTGGAACAGGAATCCGGAGGTCACAGGGTCAAACCAGCTCCAGTCAATTTCTTTGTCAACTTTCACGTTCTTATAAGCACTGAGACAGTTCTCCTTTGTGTTTATTTTATGACAGAAACCCACTATCCAGAAGTCAGCAGATTATCCTGACTTGGAGTCCGTGCCCGAGTGATGACCTTATCTTACAGAGTTGCACATTAATGATCACAAGATAAAAAATCACAATGATGTAGTTTGTAAACCATGGCTTAAAGGCATATAGGAACAGGATTTCATGCAATTTGTTGTTTCCAATACATGTAATATCATCAATGTTGCACAGAAGAATACTCTAAACCTAACATGTTGAAGCTTTGGATATTACACTTTTTAAGAAAAGAGTGAAATATCCATGCACAAACTTTTGATCAATAAACGTGATTTCATCCATAGAACTCTCTTCCAAAAATCAGTCAATTGACTGATCATTGGAAATCACCTACATTTCTGATTCTCTTTAATGACAGCAAGCCAGATGGAATAATTTCATGGGGTGTTTAGTACCAGTACGATCTTTAATCCAAGTGAGCTTTTTGATTACAATTCGGTAAGTTACTTTTGGGATAAATGCAAATGATCCCATCCCATATCCCTTGAAATGTGTAAATTAATGAGTACAAAAATCCCCATCATTTAAAATTGCAATCAGTTCAGCTTTGCAAATACAGTGTTTAAATCTCATTTTAATCAAAATCTTCTTTCATTGTCATGCCAGCAACAACAGTTAAACATTATTTACATTCAGTTTACATTTCAAATGTGAATAAATCAAAATGTTGATTCAAAGTCTACCTTTTCTCTCCTGCAGAACTGCTTTTACCAAAATGAACGGTTGCATTTGGGCATGTTATAAACGACTGTTATCACCTGGGCAACTGAAAAATATCAAAACTGTTAGAAACAAAAATGTCAGTTTTTGAACAGAATGTTGATCATACTTAGAACAAACAAATCTAGTGTCGATCAATCTATTACTTTGAAGAGGCTTGCAATGATAAAAACAAGCAAATTATCACTTGACCTATTTTAACATAATCAGAAACACAGAAAAATGTTCGCGTATACAACAATTACAAGATTGGTCCTGAATGAGCAAACATGACTTTCCTCTGATAAAAATGCGTCATTTGGCAATGCAACATTCTACATGTATATATTATACATGAATTGTTTGACAGTACGAACACTGGTTTAGTATAGTACCTCTCAATATGGACATAGGCCTATAGTTGAATAGTAAACAAAATCCACGTTATACTGTCCTTACACAACTGGACCACTCTAAAGGTATATTACATACACAGTCAAGGTTAAAGATCTATACAAAAGTTAGCAAACTGGAATCATAATTTTTGCCATTTTATGCATAATTTACATTAATTTACACAAACGATTTGATAATGAATGAAGCACAAACACTCGAAAGAAACGTCTGTATGGGCACGTGAACTTGTCAGGATTTTGTAATTTGTACAAAGCTGAGGCAAATGCTTTTTAGCAAAACTACCGTCTCTTTTTCAGGGTTTAATTTTTTGTATCATTCTGTACACTAAATTTTGCACAGCACCGGTCTATGGAAGGGTGTTGTGCAGCCATTTGCGTGTGGTCACATTAGTTTGTTTGAATGCCATATTACTACATTGATCGGGTAACAGGGTAGGAGAGGCTTTGTCACAAAAGTTGAAGACATCTCACACAACTTTCACCTAAGATGATGCGATACAAGATAATTTCTCAAAAGAAATGGAAAGGAGAGGTGGATTCTCCTGTTTAATTGACGATTAGATTGTGGATTTATAATAGTACTCAAAGGTCACCCAAGATACAAGGTCAATTTAATATCACTTTCAAGTGTCACACAGAATGCTTAGTACAGTGCTAATATGTTTGAAGATTTCAATGAATCATTTTGTACAGGAATTGGTGATTGTCTTTTCACATTGTCTTTTGATTGATTAATTAATTGATGGAATAATTTTTTTGGGAGGGGTTGGGGTTCAGTAGAATGAAGAACTATGCTTGGTATATTTGTATTCATAATGTATGAGGATTCTGAATACATCTATTTGTATTGAAACTTTTTGTTGACTTTTCTATTCATTATCGAGCCTCTTATTGCCCTCTGAAAATAAAGTTTTGTTGTTATTGATTGCTGTTATTTTTTTATTTGTTTTTAACTTATTGGGTTTTTTTGGGGGGGAGGGGAGGGGGTTGCAGAGCATTGATTTTACATAAAATGACCCATGATACGTGCTACTTTGTGAACGTGGTGCATTCATAGGGCACAGGGTGGGAGTTATGACTTGGTGGTAGATTATTTAGGCTCGGAAATCTCCCTCTGCTGTTTCCTTCAGGTGAGGGAGGCCTTGACTGACAACTTGTCTGATGAGCTGAGCATCGAGGCCGATGTTATGAAGTCCCAACCGACATAACTTTGGGAAACCTTGGAGATGACCGATGAGAGCCCTCACTGCATCCAAACTGAATGCACTGTCATCAAGGGTAAGCCCTATTAAACCACGCCCAGCAGGAAGGATGCTGATCAGGTCCTTCACATCATCATCGACCAACCTGCACTTTTCGAGGTGCAAGGTGCCAATGGCTGGCAAGATATGGACATCTCGCAACTGTCCATGCAGGTTGATACTATGCAGGTAGAGATAATTAAACCTGCATTCTTCCAGTACCTGCAACACATCAACAACCTCCTCTGGTCTTACTTTTATCATGGACAAACTAGGCATGATTTTTTTTTGCATGCGCAAAAAGCTGTGCGATGCAGGCCCCATGTCAAACAACGACTTTTCCCCAATGTAAAACATAATGTGTAATTGAGCACGGCGCTCTTCTTTCCTCACACCAATTGTTTTCTCTAGGGGACTGAAATCCTCCTTCTCCTCCTCAGACAACATGTAGTGAACAAATATCATCTTAGCCGACTCCATGCTGTCACTCAGAAGAATTTCCCTGAAAAGGTTAAGATCCTGCTTTCTTACATGCATGTAAAAGCCTGTATTTTTAAGTGGTGGAGTGACACGCTTTAAGTAGTAGCTCAGTGATTTCAGGTCTGCATTACTCTCACACTCTACCCTAGTTGGTCTGACAAGTTTGGTAGCCAACTCTTTTGAACCAGATTCACACAATATCAACCGAGCCAATCTCTGCAGCTTCATCTCATCACCTTGCATCTCTTGTATGTGATCCAGAATGAGACCAGCAGCCTGCATGGATCTACCACAACAAAATCTCAGCAGGTATTCCATCGCAAAAACATTTCCTTCTCCAATCTGCTCCAACTGATGACGGAAATTGTTTTCGTCATCTTGTTGTAGCAATTTCACCAGGTGACATGCTGCAAAGTATTCTTGGATGGACTTGTGGGGGAAAGTGACCAGCACTTTTACATCCAGACCACTCGTGAACGTTTCACGTAGAACGAAACCCACACGACAACCCTCAGCTAAGCAAGACGGACAATCCTGAAATTCAGTTTCATTGAACATGAGTCTTTCCCCTCTAGAGTCTAGTAACCCTTGTAATGCAACACGCCCCAAGTCATCAATGATGGGCATCAAGTTTAACATCACCTGATCATCATTCATATCTTTATTGCAGCGCTTGAAAAGAACAACCGCAAACTTTTCGTACAGCTTGGTAATTCTCTCAGGCAATGACTTTTCATTCTTCCAAACAAGGCACAACATCTGGGAAATGATTGGAATTACAGCCATCTCCTTGAGATTTGCATTGTCTTCTAGATGTGAAATCAATGCCTCTCCCATGTCAGAATCATCAGAAAGGTTTAATCTGATATATTGATCTCTGTCTTGTGGTCTGAAGCCACATGTTTCAACCACTGCGTACGGGTTGCTACCCTCCAATACATATTCCATCATGTGTGGTCGAGTAGTTACCAACACAAAACTTTTTGTAAGGACTCTGCTGTGTAAGATATCTTGAACCCTGTACACGCCCTCCTTAGATTGCAAAACATGAGACGGAATTTCATCTAATCCATCCAACAGCAAAGCAATGCGTGATTGCTTACCATCAATGATACGTTGCACTGTTGTTTTGTCCAGTTTTGTGTCAATTGGTAGAATTTGGTCAAATATGGCATCCAAGACACTGTTTGATTGCATTTGCCTCAGCTTAATCCAAAGCACAAGATCGAATCTACCGAGAAGGGGTTCTGAACTGAGTGTGATGCAGGAGTTTACAACTTTCACTAACAGGGTTGTTTTACCCGTCCCGGCCCCACCATAAAGAAGAATCTTGATTTCCTTAACTATTTTCTGATTGAACAAATCATCAACGGATTTGAGAATTATCTTTTGTGCTTCATCCAAAAATATGTTTTGTTTTAGTAATGTGACCAACCTCTCTGATTTCGTTTTGCCTGAAATGTTCTTTCTGAGATTCAGTGGAATAAAGAATTCCTCAATACCCACATTACGTGACTGCAGTGTAGGATGTGCAGGAATAGTTGTTGCAGTTTGCTCATAGTTGTCAATAATTTCCTGTTGCAAATCCTCAAAGGTACCCGATTCCTGGAGTCCGGTGGTTTCTGAAAGAAATCATGAAATTATAATAAGTAACTGATTTGAGAACTGATAAACATGATTCCTTACAATCATTCTTTCAAGCTGCATTAACCCTCTCTACTAATGACGTATGAGTAAACTATTCATTAAGTATACATGAACATGATTCATAACAATTCTCTCAAGCTGCAATTCAACAAATCCGAACAATGTGCATGTCCATTTTTCAACATATTATTTGTTTCTGCAGGCAGCAATTTTTTTTTAACTTCATCCATAATGTACTCAATTGGTTAAAGTTTCCAATTACGTGCAGTAAAATGTACACTTGGAAATGTTGCGTGAGGATTGTATCCAAAGTTTGCTTCCAAGCGTGCGTCCCTGAGATCATGATATTGATAAAAGCAGGAAGAAGTTTCGTCTTCAGGGTGTGGACCCACTGATTAGTCCTCAGTGCCTGTTAATTCCAGGGTATATTAAGGATGCATATAGGACCTACATGTACCTTTCTCAACAGCACCCCCATCCCCCCCCCCCCAAAAAAGAGGGCAATGCAAGCTGAACAATACCAAACACGACCAGATTAAAATTTGTTTATCAAAGACTTTATTCTACAGTAAAATGTAGGTTAAGTAAGTTGCGTATGAACACTTTGAGTTAATTACATTTGTCTTTGAATATAGTAATGTCACTTAAATGTGGTGGGTAGGTACGTGTACATGTAGATAGTGCTACTAATTTGCAAATTACAAAAGTGACGTCATGATGACCTCATCACCTAATTCTTTTAATTAATTTTCGAAACCTTTCACATGTTCTTCTGCTAGCAAAATTTGACATAAAATGCAATCAGATTGACATCAAACTACGTACAGGTTGGCCCTAGACAAGTGATGTCATGATGACGTCATCAATGGTCTTATGATGTCACCTTAAAGTTGTCTATTTTACAATTTTTTATCTAGAGAACGTAAGTCCAATTGGGTTGGAACTTTGTATGTTCATGTACATATACAGGTACAGGCACGTGTTAACAGATTAAAACTTGGGGACGTCATGATGACATCATCATGGGTCCAAATACGTTATCCTAAAGGTGCATATTTTAAAGCCCTATATATCTGGAGAACTACAAGAACAGTTAAATAAGTCATGAAACTATGTTCACTACATACATGTGCTAAAACAGTATACCACCCTCCCCCTGCCCCCCCCCCAATACATTAACACTTGATTTAAGATATCTACTTCATCGCATCAAATAAGATTATATTTACCTGGTCCCTCTGACAGCTTGTTGTAAATGATATTTACTTCATTTGAACCAACAATGACAGGGTTCTGGCTACCGCTGATGCTTCCTATGATGGCTTCACTTCTTTGTGGGTAATCTACAATCAAAAGCAAGAATTAAAATATCCTTCAATTCAATTCAATTAAATAATTAGGGAATAACAGTGTGAGCACCCGGTCTTCACTTTTGTGTGACTTTTCTTTTGGCGATATTTCCAAACTTTTTGTGTGTTCATGTTTACATACTCCTTGTTTCCAAAATTACAAAGATGCTCGATTTAGAAACAGTAAATATGTCCCTGTGAGGCGTGTTTACAGAAAATAAATCACATATCCATGCTTTCGTTGTAAACATCCTTAGTATGAACATGTCGTGTTAAGACTTATAACGCGCCCGCAGGCCCCGCATAACAACTACATGTATAGAATGCATACACGCACGGAAGTCTTCACACGATGGTGGTTGAGAGCACGTGTACTGATGTATTATAAAAAGTTACCGAAGGACTGTTGTTTATTTGGTCAATCATGGCTTACATGATGCTGGATCAACGCTGGTTCAGGGGCCATTTATTCACTTGTTTTTGAAGCCTGTCTTTATATCACATGTTAATACACCCCCACGTGATCGAGTCTCGACCAATCAGAAGCTATCAACTCTCCAAGGCATTTATTAATGGTTGATTAAAAACATGTCTGACAGTTAAAAATCGGAAATTTGTACATGTGAACATAATATATGATTTTCAAAAAACAATTATACCAAAACATAATATTACTAAAAACCAAACATTAAAATACTTACATTAAAAATAAAAATACTTTAAAAATGTGCGCAAACCATGTAGCCCTACTTTAAAGGGTTTTTTTAAGAACCAAAAGTTCAATTCAGTTTGTTTATACCGGTATTTAGCCTGTTTACAGATACAAAGAACATTTTTTTCCTTAAAACGATGTTGCATTCGGGTGACGTTATTATCAGATTTGTCTTTCAATTCATAATGTTTTGCAGGCCAAATTTGTGCACCAACAGTTTATTTGCCAAAAATTGTGCTCGAAAAAATCATGAAATTTGCTCTTTGTTGTCAACATCATAATATAGTGTGCTTTGATAATATCCTACTGTTGGCTCTCAGGTACATGTATGTGAAAAACACCATATTTAGGGGTTTTTAAAATATTGTTCAGAGGATGGAATTTGCATGTAAATCAATTTGGTGATGTAAATCAATATTGTGTTTTTGCTCTTTACAGACGTCAGGCGCAGATCCAGGATTTTTTTAGATGGGGGGCACAACTTCGGAGAATTTGCTCCAAGAACTTATACGAGCGTGAAGCCCCTGAAAATTTGTGATTCTAGATGCTCTGTGGTGCAATCTGAGGCGATTCCTGGCCCCTTTACCCCTGAATTCTTTGAGCAAAAGCTTTTAAGATTTTAAGAAGTTACTGTGTACTTCAAAATTGTAAACCATGTATTTTCGTATTCATATTTCTTGCATTGTATTTTGGAAAAAGAATCGAATTGACTTAGTTTGTAAACTGTTGCAACAATGCGTTGGGGCATTTGCACCGAGGACTAATGAGAGCGCGGAGCACAAATGCCTTACGGTGTGGGGTCAGGGGCCCGCTAATAAAGGGCCGCGGGAAATTTTGGATTCAAGATGCTCTGTGGTGCAAATCTGAGGCAATTCCTGGCCCCCTTTTCCCCTATAGCCCTGGGTTAAGTGTAAAATGTTTTAAGATACTTCGGATTTTTTTCACTTTCATTTCGGTTTGCGGTAACACATGTAACATGTAACACATACTCTTGTATTTATAGCCTTTTAAGATTCTTCTGTTCTTCACTTGATAACCATGCATTTCCGTCTGCATATTTATTTTCGTGCATTTTTTATTTATGAAATAGGAATTGGATAGGCTTTAGTTTGTAACTGTTGAAGGATGAAGGATGGGATAGGCTGCCGAGGACTACTGCGAGGGACAGCGCAGGTCAACGTGGGTGGAGGCTTACGGCGTGGGGTCCGCGGCCGACGGCGTGGGGTCGGGGCCGGCTTAAGGGCACCGGGAAATTTTTGGATTCTAGATGCTCTGTTGTTTAAAATACACTGTTGCTTTTACAAGCCTTTTAAGTTTTTTCTGTTCTGCACTTGATAATCATGGATTTTTGTCTGCATAATTATTTTCATGCAATTTACTTTTGAAAAGGAATAACTGTATAGACTTCGTTTGTAAACTGATTAAGGATGCTTTCTAATGTTTTGTTTCAAGTTTAAATTGTCAGTGTATCAATAAGAACAAACCGCTTGAACATGTACATGTACATTGAGTTCAAGTTTAAAATTGTGTAATTTAATCAAACTACCAGTAAAACAGGGGAGTAATTAGGCCTCCATGCACACTGGAACTTCACAGATCTCAATGAAAAGTGAAAAGTCCCATTCGATCCCAAGAGCTCCCCTCTCTGGGCTGACAGGGGGCTGGTCGGCAGTGTGGTCCCCCTTGTTTCAGGGACACTGCAATGCTATATATTGTGCCTAATAGCATCAATGCAAAGGATGGAGGGGAAGGATGCTGTCACTGGGAACCGATATCAGGGCCAGGGGAGTTATAACATGCAGGGTTTACAGACAAATGTTTGTGTCTCACCTGGTCTTGGCTGTAGTTGCGGCGGAGGTTGTTGCGTTGGTTCCTGCTGGGAAGGCTGTCCACTGCCAGACTGAGTCGTTTGTTGATCATCTGGTAGTTGTTGGGTCAGAGCTGCTTGACTGTCTGTTACTGTGGTTACGGTAAGAGCAACCCACAAACCAAATTTGAAGTTCCTAAGTAAAGTATTTCTCAAGCATTCATGCTGACAATACAGCAATTAGTGATCTTGACCTAGCTGTCGGCCCCAAAAGCAACAGGCCTCTTAAGATTATCAAGAACAACAGACAACCCACAAACCAAATTTAAAGCTCCTATGTAATTATTCTCAAGTTATCGCATTGACAAGATTTCTATTGTTTTAGCAATAGTGACCTTGACCTTTGACCTGTCGGTCCCAAAAGCAATAGGCTTCTTAAGAGTACCAAAAACAACCCACGAACCAAATTTCAAGTTCTTTAATAAGTAAAGTATTTCTCAAGTTAACTCGTTGACAAGATTTCTTTTGTTTTAGCAATAGTAACCTTGACCTTTGACCTGTTGGCCCCAAAATTAATAGGCCTATTAAGACTATCCAGAACAATCCACAAACGAAATGTCAAGTTCCTAAGTAAAGTATTTATCAAGTTATCGTGCTGAACAAGTAGGCCATGGATCAGCCTTGGTCAAAAATTTTGGCAACCGGTATCAAATGAGGGTAATAATCGTCATAGCAATTTTGGCAAGGTATACACCTCCATAGTTGGCAAGGTATACACCTCCATAGTTGGAAAATATGTGACAGCATTGCAGCAGTGCAGCTTTTAATTATTACCCTTTTTCTCAAAATGTCCATCAAAATGCTTGTTACCACTAGGGCGGTATGCCTTGCGCATGCCAACTATAATCAATTATGCCCTGATTGATACCGACCAAACCCCCTCTGATGGCCGAAATAACGTAAATTGAGGATTGCATTCCTTGTCCTTTGTTTGCTATGTACATCATTGCTACAGTCATTGCATCACTTGATTTGTACCATCGCATCATTTACCCAATGTCATAGCAATTGGCAAGGTATACACCTCTATGGCAAGGTATACACCTCGTATGTGACAGCATTGCAGCAGTGCAGCATTATCAAAATGTCCATCAAAATGCTGTTACCTCTAGGGCGGTATGCTTGCGCATGCCAACTATAATCAATTATGCCCTGATTTGATACCGACCAAACCCAATGCTGATGGCCGAAAGGGTTAACGGGTGTAAATTGAGGATTTTCTTTTGTTCCTCTTCCCTTTTCCTTTGTTTGTACTTTAACTTTTTGCAACAGCTCTCATTGGTTTGTACACATTTTCCAACCAAGGAGTCCTCGATTCGGTTTCTGTCCTCGATTCATTGATAATGTTGCGTGTGTCCTTGACTTACACCATATACAAAATAATGCAGTGAAACAGACCAGCAGCCGATTTCACAAAATCTTACGAATTGGCGCAACTCTGCTTGAGCCAAAATTTATTGTGTAAGTTGCGCAACATGACCCATTTCACAAAAGTCACATAGTGCGTAAGTCCACAAGTTGCGCAATAAATTATGATGTTACTTGCACCATCATTTTAGACGGCATAAGTTGTGTCGTAACGACTGAAAATGACATATTTTACCAGCATATCAGGAGTGTCACAGAGCTTGTTATTGCACAACTTATCAAGGTTGATACAAGACGGACAAAATAATTTTCAAAATGGCGGGCTGAGGTGATCCAACGACTGTTTTGCGAACGAAAAAATTCACACACAAACAGCCGTGGTAAATGCTGCTTTTATCCTCGTCCAAGATGCTTAAATTATTTAAAGCATTGTGAAGCTGCGCCAAGCTTTGTGAAATCGATCGTAACTTTATTGCGCAGCTGGGCAACAAATTTGTTGCCTAAGTCTTACTCATGGCACAAGCTGCGCACTTTTTCATGAAATCGACTGCTGCCCACTGTCATGGCACAACCAACAAAGGGTCTATAGTTAAACCAAAATTCAAGATTATATGAAATGCTGTAAAACAAACATTTTTGGGATAAGAAACATTCAATTTACATACCTACATTTGTAATTACCTACATTTGTAATTACCTACATTGGTAATTATGGCAGAGTTTTTGCTTACCGTCACCGAGTCCGATCTCATGAACGCCCGTTGCTTTGACATCGCCCTCACTCAACAGCCTCTCAGCCTCCATATCAGACTTGGCTGCGGACTCGGCTAGATTCACTTCTGCAATGTAGCCTAGTGCAGGGGTGAGATTGTTGGAAAATGAAAAAAATCCACAAAAATTATCAGCAAATAAATGCACTGTGGATCTGCAAACATTTCAACTCATTTGAATACGTGTCCTGAATGACTTCACATTAGCTTCAGTTCGCATTCACATTCACATGTGTGATGCGATCAAACTAAATGAGTCGTTAATTGTCGGCAATTATGATTTTAAGATACAGCCCAAAATAGTTCAGTCAGGGTGAAAATTTCAAAATTGACTTTTTTGTAAAATAAGAAGGCTACATATGTCCTCTTTCATGTCAATTTTTTTTCCGGAGAAAATATCACGATAAAGTATTCAAAACGTGACATTTTTGCTAAGGAGTAACAAATTTATGTCAATAACTTGAAATAAAGCATGTTTATTGTTGTGTAATAAACACTTCAATTTTGAATCGTTGATTTCTCCGTTTGAGTCTCTGTTTTCTTGTTTCAAATCTGCCTGTGTTCCAAGTCCCATAACTTCTGAATGGAAGGTCCTATTCACATGGGGTTTTCACCAAATATAAACTGAGATACAGCTCTATTCAATAATGTAAAAAAAAACCACAACATTTGATAAGGGCCGACAAATGACTCATTTAGTTGCATCACATGTTTTTGCATTTGGCCTGAAGACTGCTGACCCACCTGCGACTTTACTTTCGTACTTCTCGTCAATCTTGGTGATTTCTTTGTAAGTCGTAACAGCCACCTCGTAATCCTTCAGTCCCTGTTGGGCCTTGCCAAGGTGCACCAATGCCTTGACGTTGTTTGGTTCCAACTGCAAGGCAGTCCGGCAGTCCTCCATTGCCTCTGTAAACTTTCCCAATTTGTTGTAAGCCTTGGGGGGAAATAAGTGAAAAGATGGGATTCAAATTTGCCACACAGTGAACAACGAAGTGATGCGTGTCTCAATAGGATAACATGTGTGACGCCTTGAATTAATCGTCTGCCTTATGTGCAGTACTACAAAAACAAACATGCAGGATGAGTTGGCCCCCCTCCCAAAATGATATGTTTTCCTTTCTTTTTTTCCCCTTTATATGAAAAATTTTCAGGAAATAAATTAAAACGTTGCGTATCTCTCTCACAAGCCATCAGCAACGTTCATGATGTTGCGTATCTCTCACAAACCTTCACCTCCACTTGCCTCTCTCCACCCAGGAGTACACATGTAAATGCGTAAGGGTATTACTTGGGGAGCAACCTACAGTCATGACAATGGACTCATCCAGGGGGAATAGAAATATTCTCAGTCATTTCATGAATACGGAGATCTTGGCTCGTAACGGACTTGACTTGTTTACCTGTGCCCTGTTGGTGTACAGCACCACAAAGTCTTTTAGACGCTCCAGGCCCTGTGTGTAGAGCTCAACGGCTCGTGTGTAATTGCTCTTCTTGAACGCTTGGTTCCCCTGATCTTTCAGAGCCGTCGCCTCTGCTTTACGCTTCTCTGCGGGCTTGTTGGCGTCTGCTTCCAGGGCTTTCATGACATTATCTGAAAAAAAAGTTGATCACACGTTACATAAAAGGATAGAGTTTACTACAGTCATCCCGGTTAACCTTAGGGTAAAAAAAAAGTCTCCGGTTTCTGGTATGGAGCTTGCCCCAAAAGTGTGGCGACGCAGGTTTTTTTTTTTACCCCACTTTTTTTTTCAAATGTGGGCTGATATGTTGCAGATGACACTTCGATCCCCTTAAAACTCTCAAAAATATCCTTTAGAGTGGAGCTTGAGGTGACCTCAGTAAGGCCATAAGGCTTGGGAAGTCTGCACCCACTTACGATCTCGACTCGACCTGCCAGGCTGGTCATTAGTCTGCTCTCTTACATACTGCGATAATTGAAATGCATTTTCAGATTCCCCGAGATACACGACCATCGCTCCCTCACTCGGCTTCCAGATGCACAATAACAAAATTACAACACCGTGTGCAAATGGTGCCCAACTAAATTTAGTGCAAAATATATGCGTGCATCATCTGCACTGCTCCAGGATGTCACTGGCTCAGCCTCTACCAATTGACAGTGATTGCTGGAAGATTTGCAGGATTGAGGCATGGTCACCCCTCCAAGGACCACATTATAAAGAAATAATTGAGGATTTTGCAGGATTAAGGCTGTATGCGATTTTTACATGAAGGCAGTTGGAGGATTTTGCAGGACTGAGGTTGCATCTATACTATAATTCCAGGAATCTGTGTGTGTGTGTCTGTCTGTCTGTATTTCGATTATCTCCAGAACCGGGCATTGTATGAAGTTGAAAATCGGCGGGTGTCTTGAACGGGACACCAGAATGTGTAGTGCCAACTTTGAAGTTGTTTGGACGAGCGGTTCTCGAAAAAGCTGCAAAAGAGCAACATTTTCTGAGGCAAACGTGGCAAATTATAGCCTAGACCACCACGCACTGATGTTCTTTTCAATTGTTTACGTCATGTTTTAGGCTAAAGTGCACGTACTCAATATGACGTAAACAATGCAAAAAGGACGGGCACGCGCACGTGCATTGTAGGGCGATACCATATTGTCCAATGTGGGTGAATGGCACTGCATACCATGTTTCCGTATGTACACGTACGTGGTGGCTACACGGGCACATTAGGTGGTCGACTGAGCATCCTTACTGCAGGGCAATACCATTGTCCAGAAGGGGTAAATATCTGCGCTATTATTTTGCAGCTTTTTTGAAAACCACTAGCCTAAACAACTTCAAATTTGGCACAAACTTTGACGTGAGTGCATTCAACCTGTGAAAACATGCAACCAATACCAGCGGCAAAGAAATTTGCCCTTCCCGAACATGCACATTTTAGACGGGCACTGCACTAGTCCTAGCAAAAACCCTAGGGAGTTAGGATTAATACAAATACTGCAAATACAAATTCTGGTTATGGGCAATTGAATGTCATGTCAGTATTATACAGAGCTTTTAAAAGCTCAGTGAATAAACCTGACAATGTATTTATCGAATCTTTTACATGTACAGCCATTACCTGGTCATGGTCAAGGAGACTAAACAGACTAGGAGTTGTGGATCATTTTTCTAAATTGTTATTTAGGTATAATGGTTTATTGGTTTTGTCACTGATATGTACCTTTCATAATGGTGAAATTGCCGTTAAAGCAAACCAAAAACCTTTGTCCCGACTGTGCATTTACATGTCTGTGTACAGTAAATACAGTGAATACTCCACTTTAGTAATTACACTTTCTGTCATAACTAATATTTTGGCCAAGTATTAACGATCAGTACACTGTACAACAGCACACACAGTAGTCTTGGCCCACGACGCTATTGATCGATAGTGGAGGATGCATATATATACCCTCCAATGTCACAACAATTAGACCGGCAGGCCTATATACATGTACTTGCACTAATTCTTAGCCATTTTGTTTCAGTGGTTTTAACTTTTCTTTAGTGTTTTTCCCAGGCTTTCCTAAGGAATCAATCAGCGACTGAGAAAAGGTTATATGGCTCGCCCAATGGTTGTAAACGTACGCCCTGGCCTATGTGCGGTGATCGAGCACCATCACTTTATAGGGAACCAATTAGCGATTGAAAAAAATGTTTCATGGCTCACCTGACGGTTGTGGACATTCGCGCTATACGTGCGGTGATCAAGCATGGAGCTATAAAAATGACTATGATTGTTCAAATTTATACAGACAGTCTTATTTACATAAAATGGCCACGCCCCATTGCTACGAAATGACCAAGATATTGGTGAGAGAAAGTATAAAATCAATTATGCAAGTGCGCTACACAACAATGCAACTATCTCTCTTGATCACTGACATCTTGGGCCAAGACTATATACACAGGGGTTTGGCATTGGAACAATAGGCCTTTTCTCACTAGACCAAATCTCGGGGGTGGCCTGGGGCGACATGGAGGTTAAAATAAACCACGTTTCTCACTTGAAATTTTCATCCCTGCGCCACCCCCCAGCCACCCCCAAGATTGCTCATCCCGGGGGCGAGCTCACCCCTGCTTAGGACCAGAGTGGAAAAATCTTATCCCCAGGGCGAGACACTTTCCCCAGGGCAAAAACTTTAGTGTTAAACGAGAAGGGGTGAATTCGCCCCGGGGCGAGCATCAGAGGGTTGAAAAGACTGTAAAGTCTGATGTTATTGCAACAGTTCATCTGAAAATACGGTTAATTGCAAACAATGTGGGTTTTTGGGTGGCTTTTGAACCACAGCAAATCCAACCGTACCATTCAACAACCAATGACTCGATCAATCGTAATCATACTGGAAAAAAATAATTGTAAAAAATCCAATAAAAATGTTGGGAAGTTTACCGGATATTTTGACATGAAAATACACACAGAGTTTTATGCCTTTCTTTCCTTATATTGAGTACTAATAAGTAAGAATAGTGAATTTTGCTCTGTGAAGAGGCATACAAATCAGAAGAATGCAAAATATGGCTAAATAGGTCAGCGAATAGAGCACTTGAACGGTGATTCAGAGGTTGTCTGATCAAATCTCACTCTAGTGAATTTCTATACTAATCTGCTTAAAAACGCTAAGACAAAGAGATACGACTTTTCTCGTCACTGTTGCTTGGCAACAAGCTGTCAAAAAACAAATTCTGATTCTGATTGATTCCTCTGTCTCAGATCAAACTTAGAAATATGGTGACTCACGGGGATGGGTAGCAGGAATGTCTTGCACTGCTGGTGAAGATGCCTTTTCTAAAATTATGAAGAAGAAAAAGTAAAACAGATTAGTCTCCAATCCAGCCACTGTCAACTTTGGAAACCAGTTACAGTCTTTATTTTCAAAGAGGAGTCTAAGAATCATTGACACATGTGCACTATGATCATTGACTAAACCTGGTTGTAGAAAAAGCAGTTGATTGAAAGAACTGATGAAATTGAAACATAACAGCATGGCTGATCATCAAAATAAATATTACTAATTGTATTTAAAAAAAAACCAAAAAACTATATAGACCATTTGCAAGTTGCGCAATGACAGCAGGCAGGTTTTATTTAAATTTAGTTACAATACAAGCACAAAGTACCTAATCAAGTGTATCCATTGATCTCCATTAGTAAGACTGGATAGGACACGCGTACACTTGCACGCAGTGAAGATTAGGAAAACGTGGACAGAAACAGCTGGGTAGTACAGTGCGGGTTTAATGTTTGCAACCGCGCTTGCGTGACGTGCGCACGCTGCATGGTCTGTGTGTGACGAACGCATTCCAAACTTTCAAACCCTCACCGATGACTACGCATACGAGCACAAGATGGAGGGCGCTGTGTCCTATCCTGTCTTCTTAATGGAGACCAATGAGTGTATCACACAAAACACACATTTACTTATTCCGTAGTTGTGGGGACTTACACTCGTCGCCACAAGGTATTTGTGGGGACCGAAAATGCTATGGGGACAGCAGAAAGTCCCCATAACTCGGTCCTAATATTTGCCTAACAAAAAAACTTCGCATAACGCAGTGTATGCCTACCCAGACTTACCCACTGTCATGGCACACCATGCAAAGGGTGTCTTAGGCTTTTATACCTTACCTGAAACTTGGGGCTTCCCATCGTCCACATTTGATTCTGAAAATGAAATATTAAATGTACCTGCATTATAGTCTGGCCGCACTAAATAGTACACTGGGACATTGAGTAGGATTTTCCAACAGCAAAATTTTTAAAGTTTTTGCTTGCACATACCTTTGCTCTGTATGCTTGTTATTCCAAAAAGATCAAGATCAATATCAAAGAAGCTATGAAAGGTAAATCGCAAAGAAGTAACGCTTGTCAAGTAGACAGACACTTTTTTTCTTACCATAATTCAAGGCAAGATGAACAAATTAAGTAAATTCTATTCAAATTATTATTTAATACTGGCATCAATGTAATAATATTGAGTGATCATGCAAGCAAACTTTCCACATCGTTAAGCAATTATAGGGTGGAGGATGCCATAAACATAAATGTCTGTCACTGGGACAGAAGAAAACAGTTTCAATTTTGTTTAATCCATGAAGATCCTTTCTAACAAATGACAATAGTAATTAAAGGCTCTAAACTCCAGTCCATCTTTTGCTCAACTGTTCAATCGTCTGAAGAACTTGACATGAGGAAATACTGAAATCTTCTTTGACATAACGTTTGTTACACAGGCAGACTTTGATTATCATTGTTTTTTTAATGGAAGTCCAAGAATCATTCCGTTACCAACTGACGCATGCACACTATGGTCATTGACTAAACCTGGTTGCAGAAAAATACTGGTAGCTGGTACAAAACTCTTGCTACCAATGGGGGCTACCTGAGCAGTATTGCGCTCGGAATGATACATGTACTTGTACATGTTCATACGATGCAGTGTTTGCTCCGATTCCAATTAAGTAAGCAAGTAAGATACCTCGGAATGGTATATACCGGTGCGATACGATGGTTGCTCCAGTTCAAAGTGAGGGAGATACTCGCTGATCATCAATTAAAATTAACATCACTGATCTTATTTGTCAAAAAATACTAAACACAATGTAAATGTATGTAAGGATCTATAACTTACCCAGAACTTGGGCGTGAATATGTATAAGGTTAAGTTTAGGCTTCATAATTTATGCAGAACTTGGGCGTGAATATGTATGAGGTATAGAAGAGGCTTTATAACTTACTCGGAACATTGGGTGCTCATCATCCAAGTTTGTTTCTGAAAAGAAAATAATATTCAATGTACTGCATTTGCCTTTACAGTAAAAATAGCACTGCACTGTGAAAAGAGGCATACAATCAGAAGAACGCAAAATATGGCTTAATAGCTCAGTTAATAGAGCACTGGAATGGGGATTCAGAGGTTACCGTTCAAATCTCACTCTAATTCTTCACTTATCTGCTTAAAAACAAATCAAAGACAAAGAGATACACATTTTCTTGTCTGTGTTGCCTCGCAGCAAGCAGCCAACAAAAAAAAAAGAAAATATTCTGATTCTGATTAATTCCTCTGTCTCAGATCAAAATATAAATATGCTGACTCGCTGGGATGGGTAGAAGGAATGTCTTCAACTGCTGGTGAAGATGTCTCTTCTAAAATTATGAAGAAGAAAAAAGTAAAACAGATTAGTCTCCAATCCAGCCACTGTCCACTTTAAAAACCTGTTTACAATCTTTATTTTTCAAAGAGGAGTCTAAGAATCATTGACAAATGTGCACTATGATCATTGACTAAACCTGGTTGTAGAAAAAGTAGTTCATTGATAAACGAAAATAAACAAGCGTTAGATTTTTGATAGAAATGAAATATATCAGCATGGCTGATCATCAAAATATTTGTAAAAAAAAATATATAGACCGTTTGCAAGGTGCGCCATGACAGCGAGTAGGTTTTATTTAAATTTAGTTACAATACAAGCACAAAGTACCTAATCAAGTGTATCACCCAGAAACAAATACCTGCCCACTGTCATGGCGCACCATGCAAAGGGTCTCTTAGGCTCTATAACTTACCTGCAACTTGGGGCTTCCCATCGTCCACATTTGATTCTGAAAATGAAATATTAAATGTACCTGTAAAACGGTCTGTCCACACTAAATGTTACAACTTTGATCATTGAGCACGATTTCCAACAGCAAAATTTTTTTAATTTTTTGCTTGCACATATCTTTGCTCTGTATGCTTGTTAAAGGGAAGATACAACATTTGCAAACATCAACAGATGAAATAGTCAAATTATCACAAAATACCTTACTGGATTGTTAGGGAATGACAGTCTAAAGCATCCTGTACAATCGTGGCTCCTGGTGTGCTGACATTTTCAAGAAAAACTCCATTTTTCCAACACAAACTGGCTTTTTTCAAAAACTGCCCCTAATTTTTCATATTTAGTTATTCCGCAATAGATTACACATCTGTGAAGGGGTACAAGCCAGCTAGACTGATTCTTTCACTTTACAATTCCCCCAGTCTATAAATCGCTCCATTTCATCTTCAGTGGGATCTGGGAGCCAGAGTACAAGAACATGATTGGGTTTCTTAGTTTTTCCAGCATCTACGATCCCATAACGTGAAACAAGTCATTTTAACAATATTTGCTATAACATACTATTCTCCAAATCCATTTATTACTGAATATTGCAGCAAAAGCAAAATGTTGTACATTCCTTTAATCTAGAAAATTCACGATCAAGAAGCTATGAAAGGTACATGTACATCGTAAAGATGTAACGCTCGTCAAGTGGACAGACATTTTTGTTCCTAATAATTTCAGGCAAGATGAACAAATTAGTAAATTTTATTCAAATTATTATTTAATACCATCAATGTTAATATTGAGTGATCTTTTAAGCAAACTTTCCACACCCTTAAGAAATTATAGGGTGGAGGATGCCTGGTGAACATAATGTTTGTCACTGGACAGAAGGAAACATTCAATGAGTTTCAAACAGTTTTTTTTAATCGATGAAGATACCTTTCTCACAAATAAGAATAGTAATTAAAGGCCCTGTTAACCCAAATCCTTCTTTTGCTCAACTGTTCAATGGTCTGAAGAACTGACATGAGGAAATACTGAAATATTCTCTGACATAACGTTTGTTACCCAGACAGACTTTGATTATCATTGTTTTCCAAGAAGTCAAGAATCATTCTGTTACCAACTGACGCATGCTGACTAAACCTGGTTGCAGAAAAGTAATGGTAGCTGCGGGCACGCAGGGCAAGGGTTTTGCTTTGTGAAATAGCAGGTAAAAAACTCTTGCTATCAATGGGGCTACCTCAGCAGCATCGTGCTAGAAATGATACATGTACATGTATACAATGCGGTGTTTGCTCCGATTCCAGTGAGACACCTCGGAACAATGTGAGGGTTGCTCCGGTTCAAAGTGAGTGAGATACTCGCTGATCATCAATTATTCATTGATGATATTTGTCCAAAAAAACTACACAGTGTAAATGTATATAAGGATCTACAACTTACCCAGAACTTGGGCGTGAATATGTATGAGGTATAGTATAGGCTTTATAACTTACCCAGAACCTATGTGTGAATATGTACATGTATGAGGTACGCTATTGTAAAGGCTTTATAACTTACGGTACCTGGAACTTGGGGATGCTCATCATCCAAGTTTGTTTCTGAAAAGACATTTGTATAAAATGTAATTACATTTGTTTATACACTGTAAATAACACTGAAAAGAGGCATTTACAAATTAAGAGAGCACAAACATACATGTAATGGCTAAAAAGGTCAGTTAATAGAGCACTACCATTTTGAATTCAGGAAAAATTGACTGGCATTAGACAGACCAATCACAGGGCACTTTGATTGGTCACCTGGATGGTGACCAATCAAAGTGCCCTGTGATAGGTCAGGTGACAAATTAACAACAAGGCGTGTGTGACAAGGATGTTTCCTGAATTGAAGGTGAAATTTCTCTTTTCTTCCCGAAGGTATGTGAACCTAACCACTACCATTTGTATTTTCAATTCCCACAGGGGAATCAGGCATTTGAGGACAGTTTTGGGGGTGAAATCTGAAGATTTTGATAGGGGGTACGAGTGAAAATGGTCAAAATAGGTTATTGGTATTGACATGTACTCTAAGATCCTAGGACCCTACTCGCCCGACAAGCTCCAAGTGTAAAAAAGGCGATTCGTAGAGTAAAGGCCTATTACTCGGACTACACAATACTCACCCATTATACTAATGAAATAATTTTTAGTCTGGTCCTCAAGTACTCCACTGCGCACACTGCATTGATGTCTATCAGGTTCTTAACCGCATTGTTTATTAGACTTGTCACCAGTCCATCCATTATTGTAAATTAGGGCCTATAATGTGACCCGTTCTGTCAAAATCAGACTTTTCTGGGCATAAGGTCGAAAATGATATTTTTTACATGTTGTTAACATGTTCTTTTTCCTTTTTAAAGGTGGTTTAATTTTTGAAGCCGGTCATTCCTGGGCAGAGTTATGCTATTTTGAAGTTCATTGTGTCGAAAAGTAGAAAAGGAGAAAATGGCACGAACGTCACAAAACAGTTATCTTTAACTGATATACCTTATCAAAATCATCAAAAATAGTATATGTAGAGTTCAAATTAGGGTTTCAAACTTTTTTAATATATTTTAGACATGTGCAGGATTACAAATATGCAAAAATTTGAAAATCGATAAAATCACCCCCACAGCGTTTTTTGGCCCTATCTCAATTTCAACCTCTGCCCAGAAGCGTCTGCTTTTGACAGAACAGGTCACATATTTCGCCAAAAGTTTTCGGGCAATATTACGAAAACAGAAAACACTGGAAATCCAGAATCCAGAATCCGCATACAATTCCGCAGACGTTAGATCAAAATTCCGGAAATCTGGAAAAATCCGGACAAATCACACCCCTGAATATATGGTGAACTATAAAGTGAGATACTTTGCGTTTATGCTCTACCTGGGAGTAATTGGTTTGTGTGATGACATACAATAGCTGATGTTGTGAGGGAGTTGAGGTTTCAAGATTTTGTCTGAGCATTTATACATAGACCAGGTGTAAAGCAGATCTCAAATTGCACTACATGTATAGTGCTGATGATTGTCTATCTTCAACAAACCTCTTGAGCGAATCTACTCTGAGGATTTCCCATTATTGGTCAGACTAGGACCATGTTCCAACACAAGCATACTACTTCCTGCAGATAGATAAAAAACAAAACCAAACCGACAATGAGTGACAACGATCAATGCAGAAAAGACGACAATATACATGTAGCAAAATGGATGCAAGGGCGGATCGGGGGGGGGGGCAACGGGGGCCTTCGTACAACATTATATTTTCCTCAAAAACAAAATTGGTCAAAGTGGTCAGAAATTGCCTCAGATTGCACCACAGAGCATTTAGAATCCAAAAACATTTGGGGCCTCGAACCCTACGCCGTTATTTTGTGATCCACTTTTTGGGGGACCAAAGTTGGGGGGGGGGGGCACAAAAATGTGTTCTGGATCCGCCCTTGCATGGATGCTGTGCCCATGATACATGCAGCATTTGTCTGTGAGCAATCCGTTTATTTCACATTGGTATGTTTTAATATGAAGCCATTATGTCTCCGCCATTTTGTATCCATGAGGGTCAGTGCTGGAACTGCTGCACATCCATGACCTCTTGTTATACTCCATTTAATTATTGCACTTCCATACTAGGGTACCCACCGTATTCAAATTAAATGGTAGATTTGCAATATTGCCTAATACCTGTGCTATTTTTATTAGAAAGAAAACAGATCAAATGTAAACCAAGATACAATTTGCTGAAAAGCACCATGTGTATGGCTTAGGAGATGCCTGCCTTGGATAGGCAAGAATTGGCAAGCCTTGCAAACCTAGTCCGGATCAGTCAAAGTCTTAGTCACAAGTGACAGTCAGTCAGTCAGTCAGTTACTTGTAGTTATGATTGCAGCAGACAGGGCAGCAACGGAGATCAAGTCCGTTACTGTTTGGATACAATGACGGAATAGTTGATGCATGAAAAAGTGATTTGGTTTGTGGATTACCAAGAACAATCCACAAACCAAAGTTGAAGTTCATATGTTAAGTATTTCTCAAGTTATCGCGCTGACATGATTTATCCGGACACACACACACACAAACGCACCCACACCCACACCCTCTCAAATTTGTATCCTTGTGGAGACATTCCTTTGTTCTCGTGTAGTAAAGTGTTCAATTTGAAAGTGAAGTTTTAAAATGCTCTTATTTTAACCAGAATTAGTTTCCTTGGCTGAAATTGGACTTAATATCCCTTTTCTAAAACTCTTTCATTTGCGACGGATCAACCCACCTTGGAAATTCCTAGTTTTTGAGTAAAACCCATATTTCTATTTCGTGAAAACCTTGTGGAGACCTATTCATGTATAGAAATTGCCCTGTGGAGACCTTTACAATGTTTTGTTCCCTATTGTTGTGTGTCTCCACAAGGATACAAATTTGTAGTCACCCACACACCCACCACGGAAGGACAAGGCGGAAAACAGTATGCCCCTTCGGCTTCGCTGCGGGGCATAAAAATCATAGGGCCTATCACTAACAATCATACTTATTTGAACCGCCAGACAAAAAGTAAACAAACAAAACATTTCAAACCATCCCTTTGACACTCTTCACATCCAGTAATTACACTTAATTACCTGCATGGAGCCAACTTTAAGAGTCCTTTGATAAAAATATCATGTTTTATGTTCTCTTTATGAGAAATAAAATGGACCAATTCCAAGGGCCAGTTGTTTGATAAGTTACTAGTCCATATAAGGCAAGCATGTGACCGTATGATATTAGACAGAGCCTAGGCATGACCAATCCCCCCCCCCCCACGTAGCCACTCCCAATGTGCCTCTGTGACTCATACCTCTCAGTCTCGCAAGCTCAAAATGTTTGAGGAAACTACAGGAAATCAAACAGATTTCACACAGAAATCACAAACCCTGACAATTTGGGTCTTTGATTGTATATTTTTTGTAGAGTGTCATTATATGTAATTTTGTGTGTAATGTGACAGGTTTTTT